TCATGTGAAGATCTTTTATTGCTCACCTCTTATTCAAGTGGCAATCGTTTTTCTATCACCTCGTCTTCATATAAAAATTGTTCAGCAATCATCTAGTGATCTTACGACGCTCATTTACCATTCACCAAGCAATCTTTCGTGCTTCTGTCTCTTATATTTTTATTTCATATTCTTCAACGCATCTATCCAAGCACGTTTCACTGGAATTCATATCCAAAACAGACAAATCGTGAGACGGTACAGTGTCGTTTCCGAAATTTCAATTCTAAATTTGCATAAAAATCTTTGCCCATGAACGAGCGCAAAAGTAAATAACTGATCTTGCGAAAATACATAAAAAAAATTATCTATTGAACTCATGTGTGTTACTCAGCGTCGTACATGTTCATCATATATTCATGATTTATTAATATCGTTGTGAGGGAGTTGAGTGTAGAGACGTCGTACGCATCATATTGGCTCATCTGTACACGAGGCTTGTCATTTGTTAACATCTTCTGACGTCGTTCATGCGAAGCCATGCATGAAGCAAGCCTGCGAGACGGCAACTCATGTGGTATGTTCTTTTGAGATTCTCTCATGAATATATACCTTCCGTGTTATTTATTGAATGAAAATAGACTACTTCAAAGGAAATTTTAAATATTAAATATCAATTAATGTTAATGTATAATTTGTGGAGATGGTTAGGAATCCATTGCTACAGATTCCAAGGGTTTATATGGTATTAATAACCGTTTTATCCCAATGCACTCTTTCCCTCTCTGCCACCGCATCCCCCGCACGATGTATGTAGGGGGGAGGGTGCAGGTGGGAGGTCGATGTGCGGGCTCTACATCATCTCTTATGGGGCCCTCCAAAAGAACCTCTTGGCCACAGCAGTCGTTTACGGCAGAACTCGAGAGCCGAGCCGTCGGCCCTTCAGATGTAGCCGCTCAAGAGTCGCCAATTGCTGCTTCAGACTCTAATAAATGATGGAAACATCTTAAGAAATTTTCATTTGATTTGTGTCTCTTCAAGAATTGGCAGGCCTTTACGACCCGTTGAATCGTCGATTCGACTTCCGACTTGGCTTGATTGAAACGAAACGAGCTCAGCAGATGATTTATGAGGCTTGGATGCCACGGAGCCACCGCCATGTAGTGGCTATACATTTGACGATTATTTGACTGATTGTGTTGTGATGGTTTTTGGAAAAGCGAAACCAACAATATTTGGCAGTCGTAAAAGCCTGATATTGGTAAACAGTTCTTCAGATGACAATACTACGAACAAATTGATTTTCGGTAAAGTGATTCAAAAACCTTGAACTGTTTTCTTTATATTTGAAGGTTAAACTAACGAAGAGCGCTAAAAATTGGAATAGCTATATAACCATTTGTGTGCCTCATAATTTAATTTAGATCTTCAATTGTGGCTCCATTCCTAAGTTATTCATCAGTTTATGGGTAGATTTGAAAGATTTGATTTTTGAATTCGCAATTCCGAGTATATTCATATCTTTTTCAAGTTTTCTCATCTCTCGTTATTAAAGCTATGGAATTTCTCCAATGCTTAGCCAAATTTTCCATGTTCACAATAAAGACACAAAAGTTTCTGACTGTGCTTTAATTAAAGTAAAAGAATTATTCATGAAAGCTGCTGAAAAAACATTTCGTGCTGAACAAATTATGCTTCATGCAATGTAACATATTTAAAATTTATTCTTTAATGCACTGAGTAAGTCTCCTATTTGACAGTTTTCAATTCGGTTTTGCTTATGTGAAGGAAGGAACTTACCTTTCAGATAAAAATAACAAACTTCGTTACTCTAATGGGATTGGCTTGCATTTCGAGTTCCTCCGTGTGCAGTTCCAGGGATGAATTTCCACAAATCATTTATCCTTTTTATGGTTATGGACAGATAAAATTAGTTATTTTCATACACGTATCAAATTTATCAACATCATTGTATTGTTAATGTGGCGATCGATTTTTTAAAATTCTAAACCAGATGCAGCCATCGTAGCGCTCACCGAACGGGCTGAGTGAGGGACTCGACCGAGGGATGGCGAGGGGAGAGGGATGCATATAGGCTTAGTAAGCCTCGTTTATCGGCGACAACACGCATGATGCAGGCCTAGTGGACCAATGCTCAGCGATTACCAGCCTCGTGGCAAGGCCTCGATGAGCCTTTAATTTGATCCGTTAAAAATTCAACTGAAAACTAAGGCGGCGTTGATCGCAATTGCTGCCGCTCAGCCACTTGGATCGACACTCGATTTGAAATTTATGCTTCGTAAAATTAGTAATTGATGAATGTGATTAGTTCTGTATTGCCATTACTGTAATACAATATATTTAAGCACACGTTCACGCTCTCTTGATTTGCTCAAAAAATTTAGATTCGTATTTTTCTTCGGATGTCTTGACAGACTACACTCTTGTTAACTCTAATTAATTTAAATGACTCACTAATCCTCCATGATGTGTTAATTTTACTATGATATTTATTACTTTATGTAATTTTTGTTGCCTTATACAGCTGCTCTCTGTGTTAGTCGTAGTATTTTTTTAAGTTTATGTCAATTACAGATTACGAAATATCATGTGAAATATCATATCAAAAAGCCAACTCATGTACGTGGAGCAGACTCACTCCGTTACTTTTTTGGTTATCTTTCGCCAACCTCATCCTTGCTTCGGCGCTGGACTAAGCATTGCATTTTTTCCGTTAGACCAAACCGTCGTCAACTAAGCCTTGTATTTATAGGGATTGAATATTTGACCAAATCTTCACATGGGCTCAATCTCGCGCTAATTTTCCAATTAATAAGGTATTATATCGTATTGCAGTTTCTGACTATGATTTCTGGCCGGAATTACTGGAGTTTTTACTCAAGAAGAATGATTAAATATCAGCAAAGGAATCCTTTGTATAAATTATTATCTGAAATGCGCTTGATTATGATTATTTGCATAAGAAACACCAAAACCTTCCAATATTGTTATGCTTGGAAATTTACATTTATCTAAAACGGGAATTTTTTTAACCCCGAGGATTATTAGCGATCAAGCTATGAAAATGAAAACGCAAGGCTTGTTTAAATTTGAAAATTTATTTAGTTTGTTTATTTTTATACATGAAAGCTGTCTGAACACAAATTAATGGCATAGCTTTTTTTTCTGTGTGTGCAGAAAATATGATTATGCAATGCAGTATAATTTTCGTAATTGCAATTGACGTATCCAGTAATACAGTATATATTATTTATACGCACAAAATTATTTTTTTGGCGTGCACTGATGAAATATTCTATTTTGCTTTATGTGCCTTAACGAAATGCTGTTTGACGATAATTCTTCAAACTACATATATACACCTACTTACATGGTATATAAAGGTAAGATGTATGGCGTACAATGAAATACAACAAATAAATCTATAATACAATGACACGAATAACTCAATTATAAGAACAAAGTGACTAATTTACAAAAACGACGCTGTGTATAATGCTGTATGTGTATAGTTAACGCTGTGTATAATTACGCCTGACACTTTTGCATCGTGAAACTCGAATTATTCTATAACATTTTCGAGACGCCAAGATACCCATAGATTATATCCCAATATTTGCTCAATATATTGGTAATATTTTATTTTTATTATATTATTATTATTGCTATTAGAACTCTACGAAACACTCATCGTTGCGGCTGGTTCAAACGAACACCGGTGGCACGTAACACAAATTCAACAGTAATAAAAATAAATAGACACGAGAAAGTATGAGAACGGACAAGAATGACTAAGCACTTGATTGATAGGCTATACGAAAAAGTTCCGTCTTTAGTCGTCGATGAAACTCCGCGGCAACGATGGAAGGAGCCGATTTTAATATTCGTGGAACATGAATTGATATGAACGAATCAAATGCCATGAATGATTTTGTTCGTAAGGGCGCTGATAAATGAAAAATTTTCAGTGCTTTTTCCTAATCACTGGTTCGAAAGTTTAATTTTTCTCTTGTTTCTTGTTAATTTAGGAGGTGAAATGATCGCGGTGAATTGGTCGCGTTGCAACTTAAATTTCTGAGCTTAATAAGAACTTTTCTCTATGAATTGACTTGTCCATGGAAGGGCATGGTAGAATTTCCTCCATGATAGAATTAATCCCAGACAGAAGCACGATAGAATCGCCTATTTGAAACAGGTTCACAGATTTATTTCGATGAGGGACAAAAATTTTCGTGCCGTCAACATTTACAACCTTCTACGAGTTATGATATGAGTCGTCAGTGTCAAGATGGATTGCGAATAAAGCGTTCGAACAGTGAAGTTGCTGACAATAAAATACTACATCAAGATCGAGATTTACGTTTCAAAATATTAACACGCTTTAGTCGTTCATTGAGGGCAATCTTAAACTATTTTCCACGTATATAATTTGCGCAAGTTTAATAATCCGTGAAATTTATATGCGTATTAATAATAAATACTGACATGCATATTTGTTTTGTGATGCTCATCGTGCCTGCCTTAACTCATTTCGGTTTCATTGCAAAACCGAACGACAAGCCTGAACGTGTCTAAATTTGGAAAGACAGTATTTTAGAAGCCCAAAAGTCTCACATACCTCGTAAGTAACGCTTATGTCAGTGATATATTCTTTGCCTTGGGAAAATTTTCGAAATAACTCAGTTGTGAGGCCTTGTTGGCTTCAAGACGAGTATTTGCCGGTGAACAGCTGTGTATATACATAGAGGAGCGCCATCGCTGCATTGCTTGTTCTCACACATAAAATTAGCTGCTGATTGTGAATTTATCAGAAGAACTTTAATGCACGTGAATTGTAAAATGTTGTCGAAAACTCAGATATTTAGAAATTTAGTGATTTTTTGTCCCTGTTGTGCACTCGATTACGATTTTAGATTTTAATCTCTACATTTGAATTCGATTTGGATACGCTCCCTACTGAAACTTCTCCTACTTATTTTCGCTTAAAAGGTAATATGGGGATGGAAATAATTACTTTTCCCTGTGTCTTTCGCCCAGATTATGTTCTGCTCCAGAGCTGTACAATTATAATGTAATTTACCTTAATGTTCAGATTTAAAAAGCCATAATTCAGTGTAAGAAGTGTCGATTCTCTCGAATCAAGAACATTTATTTATAAATTCCACCCAAAATAAAATAAAAACAATATAACAATTTTGAGGATAAATACTACAATTCTGGCTAATGATTCCTAAGAAACTTTAATTCTAAGATAGCGCTTATTCGCTAGGGGGACATTCTCGGAGCCAAGTCAGCCCCATGAAAGCGCAGCAGTTGCTGCTCGTCTTGAGCTTCACTGCAGATATTTTTGACTGAGTGAGTCACATTCGTGGCGGCCGCGTCTCGGCCGGCCGCGGCCACGGTGAGGCCGGCGTCGCTCAGAGGACTCGATGAAGTGAGGCCTTGGAAGGCCGAGCGCCGTGACTGAAGCGGGGCGCTACTCACAGGCAGCTGAGGCGTATGGATTGTCACGGATGTGGTCCGAGGACAGCCTGATGATCTCTCCAGTTCTTCTGCGGCGTAAAAACGTTCGCGAATGAGACTCAAGTCGAAATTGTTGTGTATTCATCTTGAATGGAAATGGGCAATAGATAGTTGAGCTATCATTGAATGGATTTTGTAACCTCAGTCCTGTATAACACGAAAAGTTATATGGTCATTGCATAAATTATTAGTTTTAGTTGTGCAGTAAATCATTATTTTTTTGAGGCTATTATTATTGTTTTTATACAGGTTTATTCCAAATGATGGACCCAATTTAATAAATTCATATATATTTAGGTATATATTTAAATAATTTATACTCTAATATGTTGTAAATAAATACAAGGTGTTGTAAATAAATACAAATTTATTAAATTGTGGCAAATTGTGTGAAGATCACAAAGAATTGTGATGAATATTGTATCGTGTTGATGGAGACATAAGAATTCTGTTGTTGATTTCCCTTAAAATATATGGTTATTGATTTCTTATTTATGGTAATTGATGGTTATGGTTATTGCGGCAAATTGTGCGAAGATCAAAAAGAGCAGTGATGGATATTGTATCGTGTTTGATGGTGACATAAGAATTTTTTTGCTGACTTCCTTAAAATGTATGGTAATTGATTTTTTATTTATGCATCGATTTAAATAACAAGCAATGGCCTCTACATGTGACCCATAACTTCTAGTAATCCATAGGATTACTGATTTGATCTGATCTACTGATACTGATTACTGACAATTTCTGATTCATTTTACGTTAAAAATCAGCCCTCGCGAGTTAGGCTTGACATATTAATACAATTTAATAATGGGCCTAAATTATCTACCTATTTGATTCTTCACAAAAATAATATCAGTTTATTTTTATACGCATTAGCTGCAATATTTGCACAGTTGTTCACTTCATTTGGGCGGAGATTTCATATCGAGTTTGAATGTTTACGCTCGAAATCTAAGATTTGCATCAGGTCAATACATTATGGTGCTGATGCTGTCATGAATGCAAATAGCATAAACATCATCAAGTCAATGCTTATCTAGATGAATTGATAATAATTAACCAGTCAATTCTTAACTCAATACGAGTGACGAACATTGAGTTGTATGCACAGGTGGAAGAGAACAGGATGAACTGCTGCAATTTTTCACAGGATAATTTTTCGCATATTTACTCATGGTAAAGGTGGTGATCTCTGAACACCTTTGAACGTCATGAAGTATAATTGACATAATTTATAGTTTGGCTATACAATTTATTTGATTAGTCAATGTAATGATTCTAGATCATACCATCGTACATTGAACTTAAGGAATTGGCTCCCAGAAATAAATGAACATTTATAAAACTGGTGAAGTGTACCGTCGCACGTCATGATGGCACATTATTTTAGAACGATCTTTACTGATATTTAAATTTCTGGTTAATTAACAACTTTTCAGAAATTGAAATGTTTCTGTACCTTTTATTTTATTTATTTTCAATTATCGTGATGTCATGCAGGACAAATGAGGAGGGGACATCTTATGTTTAAAGATTTGATCCTTTGCTTTGAATTGCATTGATCATGAGAGACCTACTGCGGTGAATTATACACGTAAGGCCTCAACCTATAATAAATTCGTTCACAAGCGATGCTTATGATATAAAATGAAGATGTCAAGACTAATATTTAAATAAAAATTTAATAATCAACTCTGTTTGTGTATGCTTACCTAATTTAAGGAAAGAAGGCAAGTGTGCCGCTGTTTTGTTCCTGTGTTTGGCTGCTGCATGCAATTGTAGCATCGCTCCTGTACTGTCACCGCCTCTTGTTTTGTTTTCTCCACCGCCGCTCTTGGCGTCGTCGGTTTTTCTTGCATCAGCCGCTCCACCACCTCGGCATTTATCCATCTGGTGGGCCTGAGACAGATTGCTGAGCCTGTTCACATGCACTGGAATTGGGACAATAATCTTGTGGCCTCCTCCTCCCCCTACTCCTGCCCCACCACCGGCCCCCTTGGACCCTATGCCCCCTCCTCCCCCGGGGGCGCCGTTCACCAGGCCCGCCTTCACTCGCTTCCATTTCGCGCGTCGGTTCTGGAACCAGATCTTTACCTGCACCTGGAAAGCAAAAACTGGACAATGTTATTTCTACCCGAATTGTGGTGTAGATAGATATATATTTGATGAAATATGTTCATGTTCACAATTATTCATTTAACAAAATATATTTTATGTTAACCTGACTTATCGGAAAGAGAAAATAACTTTTATTCGTAAATAGTGCCTAAACTTACATTCAAAAATACCATCATTGTGATGATAGTATATATAATTAGGAGATAATTTAATTAGACTGTATCGGAGCGTCTTGTGGTATTTCTTGTTTGCATTCCATTGAACTATTTGTTGATTAAGACAACGTAAGTTCACGCATGCCAAAATTTATTATCTCCATCTTCATCACCCAAGGCTTTTATACAGACTCCATCTCTAAGATCCTCTTCTTGAATATATATACCACTTTTAGATGAATATTTCGTTTCAGCTTGTGAATTTTAAAATCCATTGCCACTGCTCAAAGCTGTCACGGGTTCAGTGTTCATTGGGAGCTTGCGCGTGATAAGTAGTAATTAGTAGTAAGTAGTAGTAAGTAGTAGTAAGTAGTAGTAAGTAGTAGTAAGTAGTAGTAAGTAGTAGTAAGTAGTAGGAAACCCACCCCAGAGAGTCTGCGCGATGTGAGATCGCTCGCTGAGCGTCAACCCACCTCACTGAGATGCAGGGTCTGTGCGATGTGTGATGGCTCACTGAGGGTCAACCCACCTCACTGAGATGCAGGGTCTGCGCGATGTGTGATCGCTCGCTGAGCGTCAATCCACCTCACTGAGATGCAGTGTCTGCGCGATGTGTGATGGCTCACTGAGGGTCAACCCACCTCACTGAGATGCAGGGTCTGCGCGATGTGTGATGGCTCACTGAGGGTCAACCCACCTCGCTGAGATGCAGGGTCTGCGTGATGTGTGATGGCTCACTGAGCGTCAACCCACCTCACTGAGATGCAGGGTCTGCGCGATGTGTGATCGCTCGCTGAGCGTCAAGTACTTCTTGGTCTGGAACTCGCGCTCGAGTTCCATGAGTTGCTCCGACGTGAAAGCCGTGCGTCGTCTTCTGTTCTTGCCACCGCCACCGCCGCCGCCACCGCCGCCGCCGCCTCGGTCCTGATCACCGCAGTGGATGTTATTGCTGGAGGCTGTCGATGAGCTGTCGATTGGTGCGGCCGTGCCTTGAATTCCTGTTAAATAATGGACAAGAAATGTTTTTTATTCAGAATTAAATTGTAAGAGTGTGCTGAAATCTATGAGAATGTTTATCTTACGTGAAATATTCATTCCGCACCAATGTGAGAATTAAAGGTTATCTCGAAATTTTATTAATGAGGCGTCGTAGAATTTTTGATCACCGAGAGTTAGTCCGTCATAATAATGAATTAATTGTTTATGGCCTCAAGCGATGTTTTTTAAAATCCGCATTGAAAGTAATAATTTTTAGAATGAAATAGCTGTGCACTTCATTCAACGAGTAATGCTGAGGTAAAAGCTTGGGATTCATCGATCATGACTTGTGAGTACAGACTTTGGTCAGTATACGTCACAACGCGATGGTACTGAATTGCTCCTTCTGCTGTAGGAAGACTAGCACCATATATTTTTATCTAAACATATGATTAATAAAATTAGTGAATGGATGAAATGTACGCACCTGATATTGAAATATCAGCATCCTCATCATCGTCATCATCGCTGTCCACAGGATCAATGTGTTGTTCATCCATCTCATCTGAAGAAGAGAGAACATCTGTTATGTAAACATCGTTTCTGAATAATTTCTGCGTTTCATTTTATAATTTTCTTACTGCTGGCATTTTTAGATAATGTAATTAGAGTAATCTTGAGTATTGTTACGATATGTTTTTGATCTTTTGAAGTATCGTACTCCCGTTTCAGTTATCTTGTTCGAGCAAAATTTATTAACTGCTACATTATTCACGATAAAGTCAGGTTTTGGCGTAACAACTGTGGCAGCCCGGACCAAATTGGAATATACGTAAAAAATGAGTGGAGTTATTCAATTTGAATCATTTTTGATACAATGCATAGCTCGATACCGACTTCGAGGGAAATGTACGACTTTGCCTGTCGTGATGTTAACTTGCGATGAATGATTCTCGCAATCAATGACACTTCGCCGTTATCCTTATTGCACTAGCAGCTTTTTGAATGAGCTTCTCATAGAGGCTTGTATTTACAGGTCGCACTGTTTGGTTTTCGTCGCCATGAACGCTGGCGCCTATTGACATAATCCTGCCATTACTGGCAGTCCCATCAAGACTTCTCATTACCACGGCCATTAGTTCTGTGCTCTACATCATTAGGCTAACAAATTGTTAACCCCTGTGAGTCTCTAGAAGCAAAGGGTTATGAAAAGCCTCTTTTCTTGGTTCGTCGTGGTGGTACAATTGGAGCATTACAATTAAATATATGTATCCACCAAACGTCCTACATATATCATGTACAAGACATTAATGTAATCGCACATAAACTATAATTTACTGCATTCTTTATCTTTAGGGTGTAGAGTGTACCATGAAATGTACGTTTTCATTTTTTTCTTCTTGCTCTCGATACGCAGAATGACATTCGTATTTTCCTAAATTTAAAATATCCTGCTGTTTTCTTGTAGAGCAATTTGTACGCTTAATTTTCTTCTTGTATACAAATTGTCCGGTGTCACTGCTAAATATATTTCATCACGTATTTTAGATTTATAATCGAATGATAAGATTATAGATGAAACTGCATTTGCTTTTGCAGCTCAAAAAGGGTAAGTTTAATTCAGATTAATGAATTCAAATATAAATTTTTTTAAACACTTACAAGTCTTGAAAATAGACCAGTTTGAAGTTATTTTAACAGGAGACATAGCTATATACGGTTACAAAGCAGTTTTTATTGACCATTCTCTCTCGTATCTGTTGTTTTAATTTGTGCTCATTTATGAACTCGTACCTACTATTTTTCAGACTATGAATTGATAGTGTATAGTCTGCATCATTTGGGGTAGTCTAATTCAATTACTTCAGAAAATTATTCAATTCAGCACGCATGATTTACTTAGGGCATTCTACGTCATTTGCATTCTACATATTTGATATAACATTGTTTGCATATTTGTTTAGTGATGCTCATCGTGCCTGCCTTAACTCATTTTGGTTTCATTGCAAAACCGAACGACAAGCCTGAAATGACAGGCTTTTCTTAACATGTACTGTATTATCCCGTCATTAGCTTCGCTTCAACGCTTCTATTTGACACCAATTACAGTTGCCTCTACCGTAACGCTTCGCTCCTGTCCGCCATAACAGAAAAAACTGACGACTTTGACAGCCCGATGATTCCCGGATCAAATTTCATTGAAACCTTGTTTCATACTCCGCTGACAACGGCGTCAAGCATGTTCCCCTAGGTTGCCCTGGATATAACTGTTATAAATAAGTTCCTTAGTGATTATATAATAGTTCTATAACAGTTATATCCAGGGCAACCTAGGGGAACATGCTTTATTGATACGCACGAGTTTTGACTGGCGTTTCTTTGTCCGGCGGTTACGTCGTCAGGTGTACGATGGCATTGCGTCGTCGCCTCATGAGAACGTTTAGGTTATTATCAGTCATGCGTGAATACGAGTGTAATGCGTGTAAATATGTAAACCTGCGTGATGCTGTGAATGGAATACACACTACATGCGGCACTGTGAAAAAATTTCCACGTAAGTTTCTTGAAAAGTCACTATCAACTAAATTTTTACTAGTATGAGTAAATATTTTTAGGGTTTCTTTAGGGTGTGTTTACTAAATTTTAAATGGTCGAATTAATTTAAACCGCCGACAACATTACATGAGAACATTACACAGGTGACTTCGTCAGTTACTTCTAACAAAATAGGAAAATTGTTCATGCCATATGTGAGTACTACGCAGTACAGACGGGAAATTAACTTTGTCGTTTGAATGACACATGCTACCGTCTGAGATCACATGTCACTAATCGCAAGGAAATTTTATACGGGCTATTATCTAAATTACGGAATCGCCAGCAAGTTATTTCATTCACTCATGCACTGAATGCCGTGTGAGTCATGCACCACTCATGATCAGTATCGCCGCTATACGTATCACCACTCATGATCCATATCACCACTGCATATCACCACTCATGATCCGTATCACCACTACGCATCACCACTCATGATCCGTATCACCACTACGCATCACCACTCATGATCCGTATCACCTTTACATATCACCACTCATGATCCGTATCACCACTACGTATCACCACTCATTATCCATATCACCACAACATATCACCACTCATGATCCGTATTACCACTTATAATCCATATCACCACTACGTATCACCACTCATGATCCGTATTACCACTTATAATCCATATCACCACTACGTATCACCACTCATGATCCGTATTACCACTTATAATCCGTATCACCACTACGTATCACCACGCATGATCCGTATCACCACTACGTATCACCACGCATGATCCGTATCACCACTACATATCATCACGCATAATCCGTATCACCACTACGTATCACCACTTATGATCCGTATCACCACTACGTATCACCACTCATGATCCATATCACCACTACGCTCTACTGCACACCGCGTAAGTGGGCAGCGCATGCGTCGGTGCGCGAGCATCAATCCATCACACCATGCATCACACAGGAGGTCATCACGAGTACCGGGCCATCAGAATCTTTAGACGCGGTCACCGCAAGTCTTTGAGCGGTCCATTACCAGCAGGAAGCATTAGCTTCCCCTACTTCTTCGCTCTCATCGTCGTAGTCCTACAACTGCGGCAATACAAACTTTTGCTTAGATGTCTGCGTGAAATAGTTTTGGATGAAAGTTAATGCTCTTTATCTAATTTTCTTTTACTTGGTAAAACAGACATTAAATTCTTATGTTATTCTATATTCACATAGGATAATATGAAAGTAGAAGATGGATTCTCTCAAATTTTACTTATTTACTCCACTTCTTCATTATTTTATATTATGGCTGTTGCCTCGTGTGCACCTTCTTTTCATACCTCAAATTTCTATAATTTAGTTATCTTCTCTTGTCTCCTTATGCCCCTTTTTCCCTCGTTTTTCCCTCCAAGTATCTGAACCTAAGTCCAGTTTGTTATTGTTTGTTAAAATTCTGGCAAACAAATAAATTTCTGGTATTTTTTCTGTACGTATACACTCTGTGAGGCCATATGATTTGCGTTTCGAACGGGAGCGGAACAAGGTACCATATCCACAGGAGGATACCATAATAACGAAATTGCATTAATGTTAATATGGTGCGAAAGAGAGTGGTACCATATGGTGATGAAATTGATCGGTAGAATTTTATCGGGAACGAAACCGGGCACCATAATGACATTAGGGTACAGTGACGATGAAACTGAACGGGTAATGATCAGGAGCATTTTGATCGGGAGTGGAGAAGCGTACCATGACGACCTTAGGGTACCAGGATGATGATAACGACCGATTGTACGAATCAATCACCCGTTATCTAAGCTAAGCAACTAATGTTCAGTCATGCATGCAGACACTGACCAGCAGCAGATGCTTGCATTTTCTATGCATGTTACTGTTGTGAGAGACCTTCCAACATATAATGGGTATCCACCAATTTTTGACACGATAATGAAAATGAAAACTATCTGGGGTCTAGGGTTTTCTTTCTAGAAGTTTTCTGGAATCTAGAAGTTTTATTTAGATCTTCAATATTTGCGTATCATATGTGAGAGTAAAAGGTAAGCCCTCAGCAATAAGACGCGCTAAAATCGGCTACAAACACAAACCTCACTCCCCTTGTCGGACGGCCTTCAACCACAATACAAACGCATGAACCAACCACGAGTACTGAGAAAAACGCTAGATTTCGTGGTGAAAAAATTGGTCTCCAGGTGCACTTTCGACAAGCGAAAACTCCTCGACGCCGCGAAACTCGGGTTTCCTGCCAAATGAAGTTTGTGCTTTTCACATATCCCAGTCCATTGGAAAATTCAAAGCGTCCCATTCGAAGTGCACTTCATCATAAGATATAAGCTAGGTAATCCGGTGCCCATGTCCACCTGAAATATCCACGAAATGAAAAATTGAAATCACATCCCAAATTCACTACCGGAAAAATAGCAAAATTTAATGAGGAGTTGACCAGCATTTATCCCAGCATTGTATCACGCAGAGAGTAAAACAAACAACCGAACTCAAGTCTTGATAATCAATAATGGGTCATTTCCTTGCCTAAAACATCGGTGCATCAGAGTTGAACAACCATGGGTGTCACAACCAAGTAAACTAGCATCAAATATTGACGCTAAAACCTATATGTTGGGCTAGCGTGCTCACACGCCACAAAAAGGAGTCCAAGAAACAGTCTCGCAGTAATTTAAATAAAATGAGTTAATTGAAGTATTGACTATCGTATTCTAATTCCAAAATTCAAAGGAAAATCACGTGCCAACATCTCCAACGCTGATCGATAAAAAAACGGGTACATATGTCACCAGCGTGAACGGCTATCTATATAGTCACCAGCGTGAACCTGACAACAAAAGACGGAAGTATGGTGCAGCTATATTACTAGTGCATGTACATTAACATCAATCTTTTAATGTAATCCAGATCACCTCAGTAGCCAGATAATGAAATTAAAGACCAAACGGCTTGAAAAATTACCTCTTTATCAATTGGGCTCCAGAAAAGCTTGAGCTAAAATTTCGACTCGTTATCTATCCGAGAATTAATGAAATTAATTTTTTTGGAGATCAGGTTTCGCAATGCTCATCGAATCTTCTATTCAGTTCAGTGCATCGTCGTTCGTGTCATCCATACTGCATCGTTTTGATTGAGTGACGAGCACCACACTGACGTATCAAATGGAGATGAATCATGTGCTTATGGAGCATTACCATTATAGGCAGAATAGAAGTCCATTACGCACTATCTGCTCCTAATGGATTACGTCTGTGATGACCAGCAATATTTCTGCCCTAGCCTTACCCTTAAATGGACTTTTAGTGATCGACTTGTCTCTGTGTATTTAAAAAATTTTGTGTTGCATTTTTTAAATCCCCATTTATGTCATATATAGGGTCTCCATAACCTCTCGTAATATCATAGAATGTTAATTAATAACAGAACTTGTAATCTTACATCTAAGATTAATCTAAGTTCTGGTTAATCTAAGATCTAAGATTAAATCGTACTTCTTCTTTTATCATATTTCTTTCGTGTGCTTGAAATAAATAGTTTAATCAGTTTGATTTCAAGTAATTAATTGAAGTAATTTAATAATCAAATTAGTAATTAATTTAATAATCAGATTAATAATTAATTTAATAATCAAGGTAATATTTAATTTGATAGAGTTGAATTAATTTCATTATTATTTTATATGCAATGTGCATGAAATGAAGAGCTCGGATAAAAACTGATTTTTAACCTGAATTGATTTGTCATTCATTCTTTAGTAATAGGTGCACATGTTGTCGGAAGTTGGTAACACCCCAAACTGCCTATAAATATTGAAAGAAATGGATAGAAATCCTGCGGATGAAAATTTGCTTCCGTGTGAAGAGTTTTATTAGCTCGAATTTTATTTAGTTATGGAATTTTCTAGGTTCCTACTGTATTTGTGTCTAATATATAAATAATACTTATCTCAACTAAAATGATTCACTTCGATTTGCCAGTTATTTGCCAGTCTGGAATCGAAAATGGTGAAGATTTTCTTTGATATTCTAGACATTATTTGAAATTTCTCCTTTGCTTACAATATACGAGGCATTCTTTATGTGCTAAATGTCACATATGTCTCCAACAATGGAGTAAAAATATTCTAATATTAATTACAAAGACCGGCCTTATAATTAACAACTCGTGTTCTAAGTTGTTCACAAGTTGTTTTCGTTCACTCCTCTAAGTTGTCGTTTACTAACGAATATTATATAGAGGAGCTCGTAATTAAGTGCGTGTGGGATAGCAAAACGATTTCCCAATTCTGAATAGTTACATCTAATGTTACTTGCGCAATGCTACTATTTATATCGATGTCATTTATTGATCCTTGCAACGTCTTTACGTTTAATAAAAATACGCTTACATATCATGTGCACCATTAATGCGCAGGTTCTTCTCGGCTTGTGGAACCTGAATTTTTTTAAATCTCGAGATAAATTGATACGTTTTTAACATTTTCTTTGGTGCAATGAAGATGCAATGATCTGCCAAGCAGCCGGTACGCTGGAAATAAAGTTTTAACTTGAAAATTATCGGGAATATTCGTTTCCGGTGTGCGCACGATAGACACTTTTGGACTCGTCTCTTAATATGCCCAGCCTATGTATCTTAATCCAGTATTCCTGCGAGTGTAAACAGTCGCGTTACGTCAGTGTTATGGCAAGTGTAAACAGTCGCGCTACTTCAGTGTTATGGCAAGTGTAAACAGTCGCGCTACTTCAGTGTTAATTATGGTAAGGGTATTATTGCAGATTAACTACATCCAAAAAAAAGGGTGTTTTTTTTTAATTATATGTTTTTTGGGGTGTAGATTACGAATCTGAAATCCATTTTTGGCGGTCGGCATCGGAAAACCGATTTTTTTCGCGACTTACTAACATGGGGGTTACGTAACTTACGTTACCTCACCCTTTTTTTTGGATGTAGTTAATCTGCAATAATACCATGGTAAGTGTAGGCAGTCACGTTATTTCAGTGTTATGGCAAGTGTAGGCAGCTATATACTGTCACCTATCGATGAAATGCACAACAAGTTTTCTCTCAATAATTTGGTAAGTTATACGTTTTTTGCATAATTACCATGTAAATTTGTTTTATTGGATGTTTTTTATGCTTTAAATTTTCAATTGCGTATTAAGTTCCCTCCACATTCACAGCAAGTTGAAGGCTGAAATGAAAATGAACGCCAAAATAGCAGAAATATGCAATTTTAAGATACTGATGGAGTTGTTAGATATATAAACCAAAATTTGAACTGGGTTACAAATTTATAAATTGTAAATCAGTTCCTTCTAAGCCAGTATCCTATATAACTATAACTATAACTAAAATTCTTCAGTTAGTGTGGGGTGAGGTTCTTTGCTTGGCTTCGCAAATGCATCCACACACAATGCTGCGCAACTGAGAAAATTATTCATAGAATAGAATAGAAGTGTCGGCATTGAAGAAATAGGCCCATGGCCTGTTGCCGATTCTTGAACTTTTCGTGACTTGATTCACAAGGGATCCGGCCTTTGGAACCCGATCTTTCCATAACTGACGATTGACTGAGATAGCTGCTGGACTTAATTATTGCCTGGTCCGTAATTTGCTAGGCATTTTAAGACTGAACATATGTTCCTGCATAGCTTCATTCATTATGAATGATATTCAGCTGAAATGGTACTTCGCAATAGACTTTGCTGCCTTACGTATAAATGACGTATGCATATGCTATATAGGTACTGCTCTGAAGCAAAGACTGGCGATGAGAGCGGTACTATGACGCACGCTATGGTACCGCGCTGTACCAAAGACTGGCGACAATGAACAGTACCATTACGTATGCTATATATGGTACCGCTCGATCTGTACCAAAGACTGGCGGCAATTAGCGGTACCTTTAATTAAGCACGGTATAGTCTGGGCCACTCGATCTGCATCATGGTAGCATCATGCTATGGCACCATGTTTCGTGATTTGGTACACTCTGGGCCAAAGACGACATTCCAATAGCCAACACTTTACCGAAACAGTGCTGCATATATAGGACCTGCATTAATCACGCAAATCCATGGTTTGCACAATTATATCCGAAATTTTAAATTTAAAATGGCGGATAGATTAAGACATCATATCAAACAGAAACAAACATAGGCGCAGAGTTGTTTGTTTGCAGCTAATTTTGCTACATGCACAGAATTATCTGAGTTTACTATATCACTTCCATGGCAGCAAGTATATTATCGATAAGAATTTTTCCTTGTTCTTTGCATGTGATAAAAAAGCCCATTGTTTTCTTTTAATCTACTTCAGTTTGAACTTTCAGAAATAGCTAGATATTTATTGTAAATTTGTATAAGAAAATGAAATAATTATCGAATTGCGCGTCATTGACGTAAAATTTACGTCAATGTTACATGATACGAAATAGCAACACCTCTGGTCATAAAAAAAATCTATTGATCAGCAGCTTCAAATTGTTCACGCAATTGACGATTTATATATAATTACTAACCAATGATAGAAATCTATCATGCACGTACTTGACCTTTATTAAAAATAGCTGTAAGAGGCAGTTAAATTTTATTTTGTTTCTTGCAAGTTCGTTATATTATCTTTATTTACATTCGGGAATAAGCAAATTTTTGTAGCAGCTTCGAAGTTTACATGTGGGAGAATTAATGATGGCACTTTATACGAAGAGGCTTTAAATCGGGATATAATATGGATATTTAGTGTAAGATACATTAAATTGTTACTAGCTCTAAATCTAGGCATTCTTGTTCATATTATTTTACCACTCACTTGATTTGCTGTGCTCTTTGTACTCTGATTCCGTCGTCATTCCGCCCTCTTCGAGACCTGAACTAGAGAAAGGTGACAAATCAGACACGGAATCCGTGTTGTACGATGTCCGAAGCATGGAATTTCTTGAATTTTCCGCTGCCGACCCTGGAGGAGATCTTCCGAACAGTCCTGTACTGGCTGCCGAGCTGAAATCTTTCATGTGGTAAAAAGACGGGCTGATGGACGGGTGAATGTGACTAGGGAACCCGTTGTTAAACGGGCCCGGGAGACCACTGAATGAGACTCCCCCCATCGCGGGATTTAAATTTGGAGGGAAAGAATACGGGGAAGAAAGTCCCGGATGCTGGCCATAGAATGGCGGTATTCCCACAGCAGCTACTCCGCCAGAAAGGAAACAGGAGTTGTACAGGTGAGGGAGAGCTAAATTCTGGGATATTTGGGACAACTGACGAGAAATATCAAGCATGTGGCTTGACGCCAGAGCGCCTGAATTTGTGTCGTAATCGAACGGAGACAGCGGACCGAAGTTCCTGTTGGTCTTGGGACGGTTTTCTTGCCCTCCGGAGATTGTGAGGAGATACTCCATTGCGAAGCTCTTGGTTTTGGCACCAACGCGCGTGGTCGGGGACTTTGGAGGAGAATCGCAGATTTCCGTTGAGGCGATCATAGTGATGGAGTTGAATTAATCGATCGACGATCAAGATCTTGCTGGTCAATTCGAACTTGAAGGATACGAACACACTTTTTTTCTTCCACGCCTAACTAGTGTGGCTTGAATTTTCTTTCTGAATGTGATGTACAGTGCAGTAATTCACAATTTCTATTTAAAACTTACTGGACTGAAGGTCCTGTCCATCTTTTCCTTGGAATCCTAATCTTTAACTTGGTCCTATAATGTTTCTAGAAAATTGCGAAAAAAATAACGATTTTTACAAACAAATCTAAAGGTTTGTCTGAATATATTTGAATAAATGAATTAGAACTAGAATAAATTAGAAAATAATGTCGTTTAATCGATATTAATATCGACAGTAATTAATAATATCGATAATAAAATAGTTTTTTTTCTGTGCAAGCACATTCTTTATAATTCACCACCTCAAATGCACATAACTCATCTGCCGTTGATGCTCTTGAAAGTTTTTTGTTTATTAAAATTTTTGTTAACAAAAATTGGGGCCGGAATGCGCCAAACGTTTCATTTGAGGAGATATTGGGCTATTGACAAGCACTCACTTCAGCAGACATAAAATAAATAGTCTCATGTGTCAGGTAATTAAACTTACGTATGCACTGTAAGAAATTCGTAATTATTGGCTGTTATGCAATGATTGTTCGCTAAAGCTATCAATTTAATGCAACGAAGAACATATTTTTTCATTATGCTTGTTCTATATAATTTGGCCCGGAGAAAATAGCAGTCAATCACATTATAATGCTCTATAAGATATCAAAGAATTATATTACGCGAAAAGAACCTTTCAACACCCTGAAGAGCAACGAGAAACAGTTGCATACAATGTCTTCCCATTTCATAACCAGCACTTGCTCGAATTATACAACTGTATTCACCGACGAATTATATCTTGGTCTTGGTAATCTTGGTATTCAACAGTATTCACCGGCAAATTATACAACTGTATTCACCGGCGAATTATACAACTGTATTCACCGGCGAATTATATATTGGTCTTGGTAATCTTGGTATTCAACAGTATTCACCGGCGAATTATACAACTGTATTCACCGGCGAATTATATATTGGTCTTGGTAATCTTGGTATTCAACAGTATTCACTGGCGAATTATACAACTGTATTCACCGGCGAATTATACAACTGTATTCACCGGCGAATTATACAACTGTATTCACCAGCAAATTATACAATTGTATTCACCGGCCACACAGAGGCAGTTAGCTGCGCACCACGCACTTCGTGTCCCGACACTGAGCGGCCGCTGCCCTCGCGTCGAGTGCGGCTGACCTGGGACGTAGAGGGCGGAGTTACCCTCTCTGGGCAGGCCTGTGCTCGAGGTTATGTCGCTACTTCAGGCGGAGCTTTGGTCGCTCCCCCACCGGCATAGGAGGGATGTGGACCATCGCGGGCGGTCTTTCTTCTGACATAAAGTTTTCTTCCATAGGTACGAGTGTTATTTGATAATTGAACCATACGATGCTCGCTGTGACCATGTTGATCGTGATTTTTTTTCGGCAGATGCTTGGATTTCTTGTAAACATTTTAATGGAGCGTAAACAGACACGATTGCTCACGCTGGTTTTACCGCCTCCTCTGCTTAACAGCGTACTTGAGGAGATCCTCGAGCAGTCATTGGCCGGTCGATTTGGCAAGTCTTTTTGGACTCTCATTGGTCCCTGGCAAATCATCATGAAAATCATCGGTGGAGAACGTTCACAAAAATTGCCTCTCTGGCCTTCTGATGGCGGTGGGGGCAGCAAAAAAGGCCTAACGAGCGCCTGCTTGATTGCTCCAATCATAGGGCCAAATAGACACTCTCTCGCGGGCTCGCCTAACTAGACTAAATTGCAGCGTGCATGTCAGGTGACCAATTGTGTCATGTCAAGACCGCAGTTAACTTTTCATCTTGTCTTCTGAATCAATTTAACTATGTTTCACTTTCGCTTTGTCTCCTTGCATACAGATTTATTCGGAATTGTTGACTTTTTTTTGCCTCACTGTTAAAATTTTAGACGATTACGCAGTTTAGTTTTTGTGACCAGATGGAAAATGCACTTGCTGTATGTATAGGTAATTGGATAAAAATTTTCGCTATTTAGTTCGTTGTTGACAATTTCTATAGGGATAACATATTCAGTTTTGTAATATTCTTAGTAACTACACAATTCATATGAGAAATATTTTAATATTCAATGATTATATTTACTGACTCCATGGTACAGTATCTGCATTCAGCATATATTGTGATCTAAAAATTACTTTAGGTCACACAGTTATACAGTAGTCAGAACATATCATTGGCTTCGCTTAATTAACATTTGCATGTCGTGCTTTATAAAGTCTGTCATGTCACTGGCAAAGCTTTGGGCTACGCCCGATTAAGTTCAAGGGTTTGCACAATGTTGCAAATCAAGTTTTCTGGTCCATAGACAATTATAATCTTTCAACTACGAAGATTATATTCAGTAGAGACATCATGCCTTTCAGACAGTGAGATGAGGATCCTATATCGACGTTAAAAGGCATTTTTTGGCTACGAAATCAAAATTCCTGTTTTGAAAATGTAAAAGTGCATGATGATTGATGCGCGAGATGAACGATTTCAATATGTTTTATTAATTCTCACTTAACCAGCAGGTTATATATATAGCTGGTGCTTCTGGCGAATATTTAATTACTGAATTGTCTCACGATTTTACTATCACATAGATGCGTATCAATAACATATACTATCCATTCTGTAATTTTGTGCGCTGTATATCTGTTAAATGAATTTGGTATCCATCGAAACAATTAATGCTACCATACTGTTTAATAAACGTAAAAATTGCTCTTAAAAAACTTATATTAACTGAAAACGGTCACCTTGAGAATAAATTGATACTATTCATGAAGAAACTAATATAGTTGTGTGGTCTTCGATATTTCCTTACTTCAATGAAGTTTTAATCTAATTCTAATCATCTTAAATCCATAATATATTTTAAAATTGTCATATAATATTAAAACATGTTAAATTTACTTTATCGCAGATTTAGTGAAAAAATAGTTTAGCTTTGTGTGATAGTAAATTGTTAATTAAATACTATGCAGTTGATTATCTTCTTAGTATAATGAATGTCAAGTCTAAATATTCTTAACAGCGGATTGCCTTCTCGATCCCTCTCTCATGCATGCAATTTATTTTTTCGCCGAAACTTTGAGCGATGCGCTATATATATTACTCTTGAAAGCTAAATTTAATCATAATTTATTTTTTTTATTAATTTTTAGAGTAAGATGCAGCATTTCTGTGATTCTTAAGTTATTAATAATTCATATTCCATGTTTTCTGTAGTGTACATAACTGAGAAGCTGCTGCATTTTTATTCTGTCAAATAATATTTAATATTTAGCAGTCGATCTATCATGAAGTTTAAAATCGCGCGCTCCATATATCGTAATTACTTCTCTGTATTCATGTGCTATGAATATATAACAACTGAAACGTAATAGATGTACAGATTTTGCACATTCAATCTATTTATAGATCGAAATTTCAAAATTCTCCGCATTTAATCTATTAAATAATTTGCGTATTTTTCCAGACAATATCAGGAAATTGATATTTTCCCGGGAAAATTGGAATAAGTCCATTTGAAATTATAACATATCAGGCAGTCTATATGCAGATCACCAGCTTCAAAATGTCCAGAATTTCGAATCTGTAATTATAGTTTCGAAGCTTTATCGAATTATTCCCGAATAAAATTTTTCATAATTGATCACCGAGCTAAATAAATTTTCATTCCATCAATACAGGTTTTACCGTAAAATCATTGTTTTCAGCACCATTTTTAATAGCGTTCAAATAATTTCAAACCTCTGTCTATTTGAACGCAGGAAAAAGGATAAAATAATGAATTAAACCACATTCTTAAATTTTCATGCGCAAAATCGTTAGTAATAATTAAGATTGTGTTTTCAATGCTCAAAATTTCATTCAACTCTATAAAGTAAAATTCTACGAAGAAAACATTGCAATTGTCTGAAATCATTAAAAATAGTCTCGGAAAATACGCCTGCAAGTTGAAAACATTAAAATTGCTCAAAATAAAAAAAAAATTGTCCCGCAAAATATGCCTGCAAGTTAAATTCTCCTCCCTCCTGCACGGCCGTCATGCCGCCCTCGCTGGCTATCCATCAACTGCCTCGCATCACCGATGCTGAACCCATAAAATTACTCGCCTCCTCGTAAGCCTTTTATGTTCTTGCGCATCTCGAGCTTTTCACTCAACGTCTTCATCGTCGAATAGGTTAACAGTGCGCGTAATTGATCACAGTTGGCTGTGGTGCTACACGGCTTGTTATATCTATTAAATCGCTTTTATAATTACGTCAAATGTTAGTCCAAACATTCTGAAATATTATTTTCGTGGTTATTATTTTAAAGGTAATTGAGTAATTTTATCGTTGTGCTTAGATAGTGCAAGAATCCCTGGGAATTTAGAAACTGCATGAATTCATAACTGATTGATTTCCTTAATGCAATTTATACTGACCTTGTCTTTTCATTAATAAATATTCAATGTCGCTAATCAAAGCTCGGATTTAAGTTTGCTGGCCACCTCTCAGCAATATATTTTCAAGACCTTATGTTTGCTCGCCTGAGACCGATAATTTCTAGGATTGCCTGTCTTTTCTATAGGCAGAGTTGCGATGACCGCGCGTGTCAGCCAGTGAAAGAGTAAGGGTAAGGGTGAGGGTAGACAAGATTTAGACGCCGTCAGCGATGTCAGCGGCTCAAGCGCTGGCACTACATCAGCGGCAATCAGCGGGTGTAGCCGGGAGAACGAACGAAGGATCCGGCAAGCCAGACGAGATTCTTTCCCAAATCGCTGTCGTGGCGCTACGAATGTGTCGATGCAATCAAGGAATATAGATTTGCGGCTGTGCCACCACTTGATTTGATTTCCTTCGTCTTCGTTCATCGTTACGGTGAGACAATCGCATCATGGAATTAGTTTATGTCGTTTGTTGTTTTATCATTCTTGAACTTTCATTTTT